CTTGTGGGACACTGTTGCGGGACACTCTTGTGGGACACTCTTAAGGGGCACTCTTGTGACACACTCTTGCGGGACACTGTTGCGGGACACTCTTGTGGGGCACTCCTGTGGGACACTCATTTGGGACACTCTTGCGGGACACTCTTGTGGGACACTCTTGTGGGACACTCTTGTGGGACACTCTTGTGAGACACTCTTGCGGGACACTGTTGCGGGACACTCTTGTGGGACACTCCTGTGGGACACTCATTTGGGACACTCTTGCGGGACACTCTTGTGGGACACTCTTGTAGGACACTCTTGTGGGACACTCTTGTGGGACACTCTTATAGGACACTCTTGTAGGAAACATTTGTGGGATACTCTTGTAGGACACTCTTGTGGGACACTCTTGTGGGACACTCTTGTGGGACACTCTTGTGGGGCACTCTTGTGGGACACTCTTGTGGGACACTCTTATAGGACACTCTTGTGGGACACTCTTAACTCTTGTGAGACACTCTTGTGGGACATGGTTGCGGGACACTCTTATAGGACACTCTTGTGGGACACTCTTGTAGGACTCTCTTGTGGGACACTCTTACGGGACACTCTTGTTGCACACTCTTGTAGGACGCTCTTGTGGGTCACTCTTATGGGACACTCTTGTCGGACACTCTTGTGGGACACACTTGTGGGACACTCTTGTGGGACACTTATACGGGACACTCTTGTGGGACACTCTTGTAGGACACTCTTGCGGGCCACGCGGGACACTCTTGTGGGACACTCATAGGGGACACTCTTGTGGGACACTCTTGTGGGACACTTTTGTAGGAGACTCTGGTGGGACACTCTTGTGGGAAACTCTTGTGGGAAACTCTTGTGGGATACTCTTGCAGGACACTCTTGTGGGACACTCTTGTAGGACACTCTTGTGGGACACTCCTGTAGGGCACACTCTTCGCACAAGACTTCCTCCAAAAGTCACGCTGCGAGCCTGCAAGACGAGCGTTTCGTACGAGACTTCCTCCAAAAGTCACGCGTCAAGTCTCAAAAACGAGCGTTTCGTACGAGACTTCCTCCAAAAGTCACACGTCAAGTCTCCAAAACGAGCGTTTCGCACGAGACTTCCTCCAAAAGTCACATGTCAAGTCCCCAAAACGAGCGGTTCGTACGAGACTTCCTCAAAAACTCACATGTCAAAGTCTGCAAAACGAACGTTTCGCACGAGACTTCCTCCAAAAGTCCAGCGGAAACACCCATCGGAGCACACACATCACGCAGCCCTGCCAAGCAGTCTCGCGATTCCAGCCCCTCCATACGACACCCGCTCACACGCCAATCCCAATGTGACAGCGACATTCACCTCTACCACAACTCACAACCTCCCGATTCCCTGCGCCTCCCACGAATCTTTCGCACAAAGTACTGCGCCTGCCATGAAATGTCACCTCCGTCACACATCGCAACCTCACCATTCCCTGCGCCTGCCACGAAAATCCCACTTCCACACCTCAAAACCCGCGCAAAGTCCTGCGCCTGCCACGAAAAGTAACAATGTCATCTCATGTGAGCTTCAACAAAATTTGCACCACACCACACGTTTGGAATGATTTCGACCCGTTCTGAGCACACTCCCATCCACCAAAATCGGCATTTCAGCTGAGACTTGTCACGAAAACAGAGCTTTGATGCCACACCCTGAAACGCAAATCCCAATGGCACGGCCACATCCAACAGCCCAAAGACACGACTCTCCAAACGCTAATCCCAATGGAACTGCAGCAATCTGCAGATCTCACCAAACGCTGCGCCTGTGCAGCGAAACGCATCACGTTGCTTGCGCGACATGTCTTTTTCATGCAAATCACAATGGAATAGCGGCGCAAACTGACACGTGACACATCCATGAATAGTCACTTGCAAAAGCTTCCCCCAATGGCAGCGCCTTAGCGCTCTACCGCGAACGGTTGCGAACACTTGCGGACGGTTGCGGACGGTTGCGGACGGTTGCGGACGGTTGCGAACGGTTGCGAACGGTTGCGGACGGTTGCGGACGTAGAAACAAGGGGTCACGAACAAGGCTCCACCCCCAGACCCCCAAGAGTTAAACGAGAACCATTCGCTACGCATTCGGGAAAATGATGTTTATTTGGTTCCTTTTTCCCTCTTTTCCAAGGCACGAAGAGATTGGATGTCCTCCGATGCCTTCTGCTGAGCCTTCGGATTGTTGTCACGTAACATGTACCAAAGCGTCTCAACATGATCAGCCATAGCGCCAAGCCTGGCAACCCAATGCTGAAAGACTGGCTGAATTGCTTCCAATATGTTCACATGCCAATCCAAATCAAAGCCTCTTTGTGCCAAGAACGCAGACCTTTCCCAAAGTCGCTTGAGATATTTCATCATCTTCGGATGAGGCCCTGAATAGTTTTGCAAATCATGCTCAACTGCTCGTAAGTGGTCGTCCTCTCTGGTGATGGGCTGTATAGAAAACAACCGCTTCCCAGGAATGGATTCCTTCCCGTTCGGCAAACCATCAGATCTCGGCAAGTATCCCAGGCGCAAGACATTCGTGATCTGATAGAAGCGCCGATTCTGCTCATTGAAGAGTGGGATCCGCGCATAAACATCCATCTTTGCAGTTCCTGTGATGTGTCCTTCTTCCAGGGCTTCTTGAAGTGTCTTGTGACCCATAGATTGTGATTTGGAATCTGTCAACTCCTTCCTTCCCGCTTGTAGTTCATCAAGGTTCCAAACCAAGTATTGGCCTGTGTGATCCTTTCCCGCTTTGAGCCCGCTGAAGAAAATGTTTTTCCACAACTCCAAGGACTTGGCCCGACTCTTCAAGGTCTCACACAGCAAGGAGAGTGCTTCCTGCGGATCTCTTGCTTCGAAAATGAGATATTCATAGAGATCGACATCGCCTGGGAATCTCACACTTTTGAACTTGAAGCTACCGGTAGGTCGCACATCAGGTTCCAAAGCAACTTGCTTGACAACGTCTTGAAGCTCAGGATTCATGTCAACGTGATAGCGCTCCTGCAGCAGGTTCCACAACTTGCAGTGAACGCAAGAAATCTTACAGTCTGCAGAAAGGCAAGGAGTTCTTATGCAGAATGATTCTAGGTCTTCCTTTCCAACATCCAAGCGCAGTCTTCTGCGAATGTCCAGCGCACCAGAGCGGCTGCCTGCAATACCCATCACATCGAGTAGTAGCTTCTCTATGGCTTTTGCCTTCGTGTTGGGATTTGCTTCCACATCTGCCTTTTCTTTGGCTTGAACATGAATCCTCACGAGCCAATTCCCTTGCTGGCAAATGGCGGGAAAGAGGGACAAAGTGATTGTGTTGCCTCCTGCGGAGCTTTCCAACCTGTTACGAAAGAGTTGCGGTGGACCGGGCTTCACTACCACAGACTTCCCTGGTGATGCATAGATGCGTTCGGCCAGCATTGGGAACAGATTGGGCGACAAGACACCACCAAGGTCCACATAGAGCACTGCATCCTTCTTGTCTGGTAGGGGTTCTGCCAAATGAGCCATTGGTAAGCAAGAAGGTACAATAAACTCGTCCTCTACAGCCCGCCTCACCAGCAAGCCACGCCGCAAAAGGATTTCCAACATCAAGTCTTGTTCGGCTTCATCAAAGTCTGACCAAATACATCGAATGAGCTCTCGTGTGGCGACTCCAGTGGTTTGAAACCACAAGAGATCCGCTGGACTTACTTGTCCTTTCTTCTCCCGTAACGCTGCATTGTATTCGTCTCCATGTGCAAAATTATCTTCACCAAAGCAAAGAGTCATCAAATCTGCCAGGGCAACTGCAAGTCGTCGAGGATTCAACATCACCAAATTCCGCAAGTGCTCCTCATCAAACCACAGCAAGATTCCAAGGCTACTCAGAAGACGAAGCAAATCCGCTACAGATCTTCCTGAAATGCCAGCTGGTTGCATTCCCCCAAGAAGCTTTTGAATGGACGACAAGGGCAAGAAGTCACAACTCACCAGCACATCTGTCTCGAGAAGATCTGCCTTGCTTTTTCGCGATCTGCCCCGGAAACGTGGTTCCTGGAAGTCTTTGGCGGTGTGCAGCACGGCGCCGGCAGGTACGATCAATGGGATGTCATTTTTTGTGTTGACTCGAAGATCATGTACCAACTTGGTCTTTCCGTCGATCAAACCGTCTGGTAAGTTCGACACTGTAGCCCTCGGGATGCAGCAATGATCTACGTAAGCCAAAATATCTTCAAAAACAGCTCCAGACTTCAGTTTGCTTAAACATGCCATCGCTAGTAGGTTGGAGGCCATCACTATAAGTAACTCAAGAGCATGTTGTGTTCAAGAAAGCTTTGCTAACCCTTGCTATTTCCTGCCTGAATCCTTCACCTAGCTCAGCCAAAAGATCATGAGCACGAAGCCATGGTGTAGGATAACGTGTGGCTTGAAGTCCAACAAAGTCCGGAACGTACGCTTCGTCGCTCCACACATCTCTGGGCGTCACCAGCTGCAAAGCAATCTTCTGAATGCGTTCTCGGAGAGGTGCAATCCAATGTTCAACATTCTCCTTTGTGGGTTTGTTTTCCACGGGAAACAGCCAGGAACATCTGGATTCATCAGACAGTCTTGGGCCCGGTTGCAATTGTTGCTTCAGTTGCGGCACACGCTGCAAAAGGCCTTCGACCCTCTTCTGCAACTCTGACTCCTTGATCTTCTGATTCCCCATTTTCGTTCCAACCAGAAGTATAGGCGGGTTCGGCGCTTTCGGTCTTGTGTCTGCGGCGTCCTTTCTCGGACTGGTTGCTTTGGCATACTGCGCTATTGCCCACAACCAGAATGAAAGGTGCGACCATTCTTCTTCAATGTCTCCACTCATGTCACAGAAGACCAGGTAAATGCCTCGCTCGTTGAAGTACAACAAGTTCAGCAGAGCATACTCCTGTTGGCCTGGGAAATCCCAAGATTGCAGTCTCAACTCAATTCCGCTGGCTGTACCCAAGTCAACCACCATATCTCTACCCATGGGTGCTGGTCCCAAGGTCTCAACTTTCGCCTTCGTTTCACTTCTTGAGTGAATTCGGGTCAATGCTGGAGATTTATTGGGCGCTGGAGTAGCTGCTTTCGAAGCAACACGATGATCACGATGATCCTTGACAGCTTCCTTGCTAAATCTTCTAGAGCGTTGCCGATGTGCTGGTGTTGGTACAGCTTGTAGCTCCTGCGAATCTTGCGGTTCTGCACTCGGTTCGCAAGGAGCTTCAGCATTCACGTCCTTAAGGGAAAGTGGTCCTTTTAAAACTAAACTGTGACGAAGGTGAGCTCAAGAAGTAAAATATTTGGCAGGTCGGAGTGGATGTTTTGTGGATGTTTTCACGAATGGTTTGGATCACTTTTGCATCCCTCCACCTCCTTCATATGTCTCTTGGCCAGCTGTTCTTGTAGTCCCCTCTTGGCGCTGCGTTCAAACATGCCGCCATCATCAAGTTTCTTCCAGCCTTGTTCCCCAGTGACCAGATCTTCTCTCATTTGACCTGCCCAAACTTCTACTCCATGCGTTGAGCGCTCATCTTCTTTAAGCTCTTCACCTTTCAAACGCCTCCGGCCGAAAGAGCCAGCAAAACTCTTTCAAGGGTTTTATATTTATATAAGTTGCTAAAGACAACTGAACCCCAGGTGCTTTTCTCCGATGAGGTCTGCATCAGAACCTTCCCTACCGCTTGTGCATATAATGTTTTCTAACACAGCACTCCAGCCTTAAGGTCGTTGTCTTCCCTGCACGGCCACGACCCACAAAGCACATACGCACCACTGGTAGCGGGGTCAAACCGGTGCGCTGCCACTCCAGAAACTCTTTCTGGAGCAGGTCTTCATTCCATGAACCTGAAACAGAACACCAAAATGAAAGCATCTGTATAAAGCACATCCAAGAAACTGGAAGAGAGAACAAGAACACTTCCAGAAGACAAAAACCGGGTGCCTCCTTCATCATTCGAGACCTGCAGAACACGATGTGAAATTTGAGAAAGCGGTGGCGGTGGCAAGCTTTAGGGAAGAACGGAAGTATGGTGAATTGAGATAAGATGAGGTCCGAAAATGATTGAGCAGCATCGAATTGAGATAAAATGAGATGAGGAACAGCAGTGGAGTTGGAGGCCATCGCTATGAGGTTGGAGTCCATCGCCATTAGGTTGGAGCCGCTTTTTCTGGGGGGGTCGCCTCTCTTTTTGTTAAACACGTGCGCGGTAAAAACGGTAAAGTTTGATCCTTTATCTGTTTGCCGTTTTCTCTGCGTGGGTGCGAGCGGGTACCTTTTAGCAGAAGAACGCACGCGAACCGGCTTGGCAGATTCTCGAACTGTCTCAAGATTGCATCGTCCGCACGAGCCAACGAGGAAAGAAGAGATCGGTGCGATACTGATAAGGGCAATGGAACGAGAAATGGGGAAGGGTCAAGTGAGGAAACGAGGCTTGAAGAGGTACTTTAAAACTTGAAAGGAATGATTGGAGTGAAAGGAAAGGAATGATGTGAAATCAAAAGCACTTGCTTTGACACAAACGAGGCTGAGTGAGAGAAGGGAGCCAGAAATCCGGCCCCGCCCGAAATGTGTTCTCAAAAGCTTGAAGCAGGAAGCTTGTGGAAAAATAGAATCAAACACATTCACAGAATTCTCAAAAACAGTCTTGCCTCTTCTACTCCAATTGAATCCAATTTCGCCTTGACTTCGGAGATGTCTGCACCCCAGGCCGGATCTCCCCAGGCAATGAAGCTCCCATCGCAAAGCTTTGCCAGAAAGGCAGCACTTGTGCTCCAAACCGCCTAAGTTATCATGAATGAGGAGAAAAAGAGTGATAAGGAATTCTGTTTCAAAAACAACACATCGCAAAATTGCACTACCGGGCTCTCCCACCCTCGCCTCGACTCCCAACAATTCCAAATGGTCTTGAACCGCAGAAATGTCTGCACCACGATCTTTGTCACCCCATGCTGTGAAGCTCCCATCACAAAGCTTCGCCAGGAAAGCTCCACTGGTACTCCAAACAGCCTCCAGAGAGGTCTCTTTTTAAAAAAGAAAGGAAAGGATGAAAAGAAAGCGGGAGCTGAGCTTCTCTCGGTTGCCTCCAAGCCCTTCTTGAGATCATTCTCAATGGTCCTGGTGATGAGAGCGCCATAGGTTCCATCACCCCAGGCGCGGAAGTTTCCATTGCGAAGTTTGGCAAAGAAGGCATAGTCTGTGCTCCAAATACCCTGCAAAACACACTGAAAGCACAGCGAAACCAATCGTCTTGTAAAATCCTTCCAGCACCCGGCCTCTGCTCCCACTAAATCTGAGCCATGGGCGACCGTTGTCAGATCTGCACCACGGTATTTATCTCCCCAGGCCAGGAAGGAGCCGTCTCGGAGCTTCGCAAGGAAAGCGCCACTCGTGCTCCAAATAGCCTGTCCGTTGTCAACAGCATAGCTTTGAAGCAGAAAAGTTCAGGCGCATTCGTAGTATTGAGCATGGATGTGTTGAAAAAGTGTTTTAAATAAAAAAAAAACTTTACCAGCAGCGGCGGTGCCTCAACGCCAATGGAGTCTAGCTTTGGCTTCACTGTTGAGATATCAGCGCCGCTAGATTTCTCTCCCCATGCAGTGAAGGTCTGGTCACAGAGCTTTGCCAGAAAGGCCCTGTCTGTGCTCCAAATGGCCTGGGGAGCATAAAGCTCTTGTGTTAATATACTCTTCAATTCTTGTGTTTCCTTTTGTTTTGGGGTTGTCCTTTCTTTCGTTCTTTAGACCTGTGGGATGATACTTTTGGTTCGATGCAATGCACCATTGAAAACATCTCTGTCTCACCCCGATGTCTTCCTCAACTTCGAAACTGTCCTCACATGTTGCACGTTGAGATATTGCTCAAGTGAAATGAAAAAGCTTTGACTACTCCGGTCAACTGCCATCACTTGCCCGCCAGTGCCCTAGCCTCGACACCGATAGAATCTAAACTTCTTTGGACGGCGCTGAAGTCGGCACCAGAGGCGGGATCACCCCAGGCAACGAAATTTCCATCCATCAACTTCGCCAGAAAAGCCACTTCCGTATTCCCCAGTGACTGGCAGAAAAAGAAGAAACCAGACTCTGAGACCTCTTTTTCCCTTCCATGGCCATTGCTGTGATCAATTGGAGGCCATTGCTTCTAGGTTGGAGGCCATCGCTCTTAGGTTCCTTTTGCTGTTAGGTTGGAGGCCATCGCTAGTGGCCTAGTTGGAGTCGATCGCTGTCAGGTTGGAGGCCATCGCTATTAGCTTGGAGGCTATCCCTAGTAGGTT